CTATTCTGAGAGGAAAACAAGCAAACAAATGCTGTTTTCACTTTTCATTTACATACTACCGATCTATTTTGTTACATAAGATAAAGCAACACACAAACTGAAAATTAAGCACAAGAAAGCCTAATTTAAAATAAAAAAGCTGAAAAAGAGATAATAGTTACAGATATTAAAGCATGTGTATGTTTAGTTACATGGTACACCAAGCTGTATTCATTATGCAGTATTTGTGCACATTGTTGAATATGCTGCACCGTTTGCCTGCCAGTAAGTTTCACTGTTAAGAAGAACAGATAAACTTCTGACACTGTGGAGTTAAGAGGCAGAGCCTAAGTAACCATTATTATTTATTAGTCTCTAAATGGGGATGTCCAACCTGTTCATTATCTGCCTAGTATGCCAGCAAGACTGAGGACAAAGTGCAGAGTTGGTGCTATAGCCAGGATAAGGATGTGCAGATTTTAAAACAGAAACTGCCTGTTTTTGAAATACGATTAATTTAAAGGTCTGCAAAACTTTCTTAAAGACACCAAACCTCAAGTACAAATTAGTTCCTAACAAGTTTCATAAGTGAGCCTCAGACTAGTATTAACCATTCAAAACTTCAGTAATTAATGTTGTCAATTATTTCTCAACACAACACAAACTACTATTACTACTTTTTAATGGCTATGTGGAAGACATTGGTATTTTTGATGTGTAACACACATATCCATGTACACACAGACAAGCACATGCATTAGCATACATACACACTTTATTATCCCTGGTAGAATGATCTGAAATATGGAAATACAGTCTGAAATAAGCATTCTGTTCTGCGAGCAAGAATGAAAGGTCTTAAGAGTAATGAGAGGATGAAGAATGGGATGTGTTGGCAGCACGCACGCGCACACACACACACGCACACGCACACGGCTCATGTGTATATGCCCGGCCATTAGTCAAAGCTGTTAGTATGGCGGTTGTCAGGTGTACTTGAGTGGCCATTAGTGTGAGAGAACATGGTGTGGAAGAAGGGCTATAAGAAGATAACAAGTAACGTATGATTCCTGTAGAAATTTTCTTTTGTACAGATTGTACAGAAAGGTGAGAACATTGATTTATGCCAGAAATTGTCTTAAATCAGTTACATATAGGACTCATTATTTTTTGTTGAAATGAGTCAGTAAATTTGTTGCTGTTTATTTTGGATATAAGAAATTGCAGACTATGGAATAAAATATAGATAATACAACTATTAGGCTTTTAAAATACATTTTAATAGTTACTTTGAAGGACACCAGTCTTTCATAAGATGTGTTAAATGTGGCTTTTCTAGGACTTTCCAATTGCATTACATAAGCCTTGATTTGACCTAAGAGACAGCCAAGTTTTTTCAGAGCTAGTCAGAAATATTGTAAATTGTCCAAGACACATCAGCACTTGGCAATACTTGTCACGTTTGAACAATGGAAACCAAGAAATACAAGGCAATTATTAAGGATATAATATTTTTAAGGAAACAGTCAAGCAATTGGCAAAATTAGCAATTTCCTGCAAATAAATTGTGCTTGGACAAGGCAAAATGTAGCTGTCTCCTGTCATTGTGCTCTGCTCAGGGAACCCCACTATAATGAGAGTAGGGTCAGCTGCACTTTTTTGTGAGTAGAAATAATTTTTTTCAGCCACCAACAGTGATCTGACACCAGACAAGGATTATTAGTTATTATCAGTGTAGGCGCCAGCTAGTATTGTTTTGGGGTTCGTTGCCATTGTCACATACGTGGATGTGGGTCACGTCACGTGGTGGTGCATCAGCCAGGTAGTAAAATCAGCTGTTCACCTGGTGATTGAATGAAGTGAGAGGGTGAGAGGGGTGGTTGTACTTTTGCTGACCGCATGATATCGGAAATACACTGACTCAGTGTTTTTATGGACTTTGGGAACACTCACTGTTTGTGTTTTAGCAGCAATAAATATGCATAAATCAGCAATCGAGAGAGGTTTTTATTGAACAACCAACGCGTCCGGCAGGTAAAGTTTTCCCCTGCTTAGCCTCTCGGCGACTATATTGTTTGTTTGTTAGTCGCTGAACAATCAATTTTAGAGAAGTCCTTCAACAATGTCAGCTTCGACCTACAAAATTGGAACCGGACAAGCACATCTATTCATCTAGTTATGCTTTTGTAAACCTTCAAGGCGAAGGTCGTTGTCATTTTGTCCGTGAGCTGGGGGACTCTTATAATTTTTTTCCCCAAAGTCTTGTGTATGGACATGTCTAGGAGTTACAAGAATGTCTTATGTTTGTGTTTTGTGCTTTGACAGGTGATTTGGATTTAGGGCTGAAGTCGACATTGTTGATGCACAATGTGTCTCTTGACAGTATCTGTATGTAAGGCAGCACTTCCCATTGCAGTATCAAATTCAGGACATATTGTGTAGAGTTCAGGGACGGATCTCTGCTGCATTGTACACTTTTAGTTAATGTAGTATTTACCTGTTAGTTTATTTAGTACTAACTGTGATCTCATGATTTAATAAATTCCTCCCATGGTACACTTGATCAGTAGCTCTGTATTGTCTTGATTAACTGGAATTCTGACTTCAAGTTTATATAACATTTTGCATGCAAAAGTAGGAAGTTATACTTTTTTTGTATTGTATATTTTTTGCTCCACTTTCATTAAAAAATATTGTAAGGTCTGACTATCTCACTTGGTCCAAGCATCACATCAATATTCAATTCCACTGCCTGACTGCCACAAATATGTATCTGACATCTACAGTATACTATATGCACTCTGAGATATTTTTCAGACAGTAAAGGGCATTGTGGCGGAGTTGTTAGGAAAATGTGTGTGTCTCTGTGTGTATGTAGGAAGATAAGTATTGAGCTGTCTGAATGTCGAGGGTGTGTAATTAAAGAGAAACTGGGTGCTGTCAATAGGTGATGACTGCTACTGGGAACAGTGGTTTGCTCCATACTCAGGTATAATTACGAACCATAGGCCCCCGCGACGGGTGTGTGTGTGCACATTATGTTGCAGGGGTTGGAGGATGATTGTGCTGCACTGTTAGATAGATCTGTAACAGATGTGTGCCTACAGGTGTGTGTGTGTGTGTGTGTGTGTGTGTGTGTGTGTGTGTGTGTGTGTGTGTGTGTGTGTGTGTGTTGGTGTGTGTGTCAAAACCACTATAAGACATACTCCAAACCACAATGTGGGATACAGTAACAAGTGACACATTTTCCTCAACATCATTCAATTCATCTTATTTTTCAGCAGTTGCTTCCACATCACACAGAATCTTGTTTGTGACTGTATGTGTGTGTGCGCGCGCACCTGTAAATTGCCTGTTTCTGCATGTGTGTGTGTGTGAGGTTGTATTGACGTGCACATGTTGTGCTTGCCTCCTTTTCCTCCCACTGTGTCTATAATGAAAAGCTAAATGGCCTGGGTTAGCAATGATTAAAGATGAACGGCTACCTAGGAGGAGAAGGAGAAAACAGCAGTCGGGAAATGACAGTTTGAGGTAAATGACAGCTCTGCTATGTTTAGGATAAATGGATCGTGCAGCTATATTCAGCCTTCGCCATCAATTATTCAAAGACCCACCGACAAGACAAATCCCTAGTAACTCAGACTCCTCTGCTGTGGTGGTCGAGCGAGTTTCTAACCAGGTGACGCGATTCTCCCAGTTCCCTTTTCACATCCAATTTCTACAACTGGGATCCATTACATGTTCACGTCAGCAAAGGTGGCTCCATGAATTAACTCTCACTTATTAGCAATTCATTAATGACTAAGAATGTAATAGCCTCGTTATGGAGGCTATTTATCTGAAATTACCTGTGATATGAGGGAAATGTCACCCATGTTTCTATCAACCTGTCATCTGTGTGTGTGGGTGGGCTGTGGCGGTTGTCTGCATTTGCATGTAGATGATGTGACATGTACTGTATGTCCTTGCATCTGTATTCTGATATTCATGCATGAATGTGTGCATGTGGGTGATATTGTAACGCGTCTGACAGTGTGCTCTGATAACAGATGGGTGAGTGGGTCATTTGCCATTTATAATGAGTGTGTAGCTGTTATACTGCGAACCTGTCAGTTGTGTAATCTAATAAGGAGACCTCAGAATTGCCGCATTTTGTGTGAGTAATTGTGTGTTACATTGAGTTTTAGAGACAGTGCCAGTTGAGACTGTGACTCAACCTTTGAGTTCCTTCACCTTCATTCACTTCTTTCTAATAAATAGCAATTATGTTGCAGTGTGTCTGTTTTAGCCTGCTGTCCTTTGTGTTCCCTTGACTTTTCCCTAAGAGCAACCATGACGTTAACATGTTTTGTTTTTTATTAAATGGATTTTTATGGAATTTGGTACACATAGTGATGAGGAATTCTGTGATCTGACCTTTTTTCGAATGACATTAGCAAGTTTGGATTTATCAGGGCGCCCGGTTAGCTCAGTGGGTAGAGCTGGCGACCCATGTACGGAGGCTGAGTTCTTACTGCAGCAGCCCAGGGTTTGAATCCGACCTGCGGCCCTTTGCTGTGTGTCATCCCCTCTCTCTGCCCCCCTTTCCTGTTTGTTTTCAGCTGTCACTATCATAAAGGCAATAAAAGCCCCAAAAAATACTTTAAAGAAATATCTCAACATCTACTACAAGGATATGCTCAGAATTTTGTTCAGACAACCAAACAATGTATCCTAATTTTGGTCATCCTCTGGCTTAATGCAAGTCAGACTAATGCCATTAGTTTCAGCTGTACTTTGTGTTTGGTACTAAAAAGCACATGTTAGCATGCTAACACCCTAAACTACGATGGTAAACATGGTTAACATTATATCTAGCTACTTCAGCATCAGTTAGCACTGTCATTGTGCCCATGTTAGCATGCTGATGTTGGCATTTAGAAAACGTCACAGAGCATGGATGTAGACTTTTAGTCTTGTAACGTACATGTAGGCACGTAAGCTAAAACATTCTCCTCTCCTCTCCTCTCCTCTCCCTGTAGGATTTCCCTCCACCCAACAGTTACAATGTGAGTCAGACATTTGAGAAGGCTAATGGCCGCTCTTACATACAACCCCGGAGTGAAGGAGCAAAGAAACGTCAGAGCTGCTTCCTCTTTGCTGCACCGCGGGATAATATCTTCCGGCCACCAGACCCCAGTGTGCCAGGTATCACACACACACACACACACACACACACACACACACACACACACACACACACACACACACACACACACACACACACACACAATACTGAACAGCATCACATAGAGAAATCTATCTATCTATCTATCTATCTATCTATCTATCTATCTATCTATCTATCTATCTATCTATCTATCTATCTATCTATCTATCCATCTATCCATCTGTACAGCCCCACCCTTTCACCATCATGCAGTCCAATTAGCTCCATCTCTGTGGGCCTCTAACCTAATATTTACCTCAATTACACTCCCATTGAAAAATGTTGTTTCAAAATTGATAGATTCATGACTTACTTGGATAATTTATGACTAGCCCCATTTCACCAAGGGACTCAACCCATGAGGCACCCCAAACCGTTTAACCAAAATCCAATTTGCATATAAATAGATTTGGACTGTTTGCAATAGTGTTTCTTCTTCGTACACACTCACACTTATACACCCACACACTGAAGCAGATGTGCAGACACAAGCATACAGACACTCGTGCACCCATACAGGCTCACAGTGGGGGACACACATTGATATGTGCATAGTAACACACGCATACAATCATTTTGCCCATTATTGAATTTGCATTTATGAATAGGCCTACAGTATATGGAACATTAGGGAATATTATATTCCTCCTCATGCTGGGTCCCCTGCGATCACATTTCTGATAATGATAAGATCATTTAACAATTTTTTCAAAAACACACACACACACAGACACATATATTCACAGTGTTGCAAGTAAAAACAAACCTCTTACAAAGCCAAGAAGAAACATTCACACTGAAGTGTGAAAAATGAAAACGGTTCTCAAAATAAAGAAGCTAAGCTCAGGGGTTTATTCATTACACAACATTTTATTCAAAAGCTCAACTGCCAACTTTTCAGACATTATAGAAACAACTTTCACCATCAACTTTGAAATGGTTTAATGGACCCCAGGGCTATGAATCGTATTCAGTGCATTAAGAATTATGATGAAGGGAAAAAAAAGAATCCATCACTGGTACAACACAGGTTTATGTTAAGGCAGCAGCAGGTGCTTATCTGACCTAACAGCTAACAACAATCACCTTATGACTTATAATCATAGAGTAACTTTTACATGCATTTATTATAAACACCCTGAGCCACTGCTAATGTCACAGACCATTATACAAACAACAAACACTGTTATTCTGCAGGGTGTGTGTGTGTGTGTGTGCGCGCGTGTGCGTGTGCGTGTGTGTGTGTGTAGTTTTTTGAATTCTTCAGTGCCTCTTTGCCTGTGTGTTTGAATGTGTGTATGCACATCCATCTCTGTACACCTGCCTGTGTGTTTGTCTAATACTATATTCTTAACGTGGAGATACACCTGTCTGTTCTGTCTCACTTATAGCAGCTAAATATGAAATTATGTATTAAGCTGTGGATTATGTGTGTATGTGTTCATCAGGGCCTGGCCAGTACAATGCTAGTGTGAAATCCCCCCCTCAAATGGCTCTGATCTCCTCCAGAGAAGATCGATTCAAAGTCTCCAGGAACACCAACCCTGGACCTGGCTCTTATCAGGTAAACGTGCTTTTAAAGTTACATTTAGCTCTCGTGAAACATTCTTACTTCCCAACACACTCCCATTCTACATGACTCCTTGACATCAGTGTACATATGGATGTGTGTGTCCTTGGATTTTGATGTGTCCCTATGCTATTCATAAGAGTGAGTGTACCTGTTGTATGCACGAGCAGCCACAAATATATGTCTGACGTTATCTCATGTTGCAATCCTCGGAGAATCTATCAGATTTCTCTGTGACCTTGAGCTGTGCGGAAAAAGATTGATTGCTTTGTAAAAAAAAAATGCAATCTTCAATAAGTTTCTTTGGTTTCGACCAATATCCACTGATGCACAAGTCTGAATGATGCGGTTTCCAGCTCAAGCCAGCTTTTCACTCTGTGGGAGAATCACACTTAATTGACCTGCCTGGTTAAATAAACTGGGAAAAGTGAGTGCCTTTTTATGAAGTGTAATGTTGCTTAATGCAGCCACCTTAGACTACTGACAGAGACAAATGCACTTTATGGCTGAAGCATAATACAGTTGTAATGAAACCTAACCAGAACCTAATCTCTCTCTGCTCCATTTCAGTGTCTTTTAATAGGAATTACAGCTTTGGGTTACAGCTGCTGTCAAGTTTGTGTGTGTGTGTGTGTGTGTGTGTGTGTGTGTGTGTGTGTGTGTGTGTGTGTGTGTGTGTGTGAGAGAGAGAGAGAGAGAGAGAGAGAGAGAGATGATGGAAAGAGCTAATGTTGCTTCCAGTCCCTGCTGACTTTGAGTGGTGAACATCAAAGACAAAACCACTGGGTTTGATTTAAACCTCGCTACACAGTTCATCATCATGTTCATGTCCATGGGTGTAACGTTATCACAAGGCTCTTTCTTCTCTTTCTCTCTGACTGCCTGTCTCCCAGACACAGTCTGTCTGCTGTCTCTGTGGCGATTAATCTCCTCAACTTTTCCCTCTCTTCTCTTCTGCAGTTCAGTGTCTCTGTCTCTCTTCTCCCTGCTTTGCGTGTTTCCGCCCTTTCGACCCCAATCCTTTTCGTTATTTGGCTAAAAAAGTTGCATCCGTTTGGATTACAAATGGCATCACAATCGTTCTTGGTCAGTCGGTGTCGACAGTCTACAGATAAGTCTGGGCCATGTGAGTGTCTTCTGAACCATTATTCTCATTCTCATTTAAATTATCCTAATAAATACACATTAGATTTTCATAAACAAAACTCCTCCATGCACTGCCAACAACAGTCAGGTGCTGGTAGGTTGCACGACCATGTAGAAGAAAATCTGAATTAACAGCGAGCAAAAAACATTCCAGTTCGGATTTTTTTACACATTAGAATCTGTCAACACTTCCAAAATCTTAGGGCACAAGGAAGCCGATGGAGGCAGCTGAGGCAGCAAACGTCATTGACATGAGCTTATCAGCACAGTAAACGTTAGAGATGTTAAAATAGCAAGCCTGATTAAAAATAACTAGACATTGCCGGTCAGGTGGCAGCCAAACAGCTAATGAATAAGGCCTCTAATACCAGTCAGATGATTCAAGCAGGACTTAAGTGTTGCCTGAACTTACACTACGCTCCATTCCACCTATCAGGTTTCAGTACAGCCACAGCTCACAGGAAGTTCACCGCCACAAACACTAGCCTCCATTGTGGGTCATCAGGTTTTAGAACTGAGCCACATTTCACCTGAGAATCACCTCACTCTTACGAAGTTCATTCGTCTCTCCATCTACCATCTCATCGGAATTTAGCATTTTTCCTACTTTTCTTTGTATTCTCCATGCAAATTTCATCATGAAACTGTTTTTGAGTGACACTCATTTTCTGTTTTGTAACAGAAACATTAGAGAATTTGTGTTCTCACTGGCTTACCAAGCAGTGTTACTACAAGCACAGTCTACCTGCTATCCAGCGTGTTATCCTCATTCAGTCAAATTGTTTTCTGACCATCAAGACTAAAAATTCTGCTTATGATTGCATAAAGTTATGTGTACATGTTAAGTGTTTGTAGGTTTCAATAATCTTAACGATAAACAGCATGTCCCAGTGTGTGAGTGTGGCAGTGTGTATCGCTTTCAACTTCAGTAACATCGGCAAAACGGCGTGCAGAATTTTTCCACGTACATTTTAATAACCTCTATCTTCCTATGCAGATGCATGCTTGTGGATGTTCTTTCATTACCATATGCTGTGTTTTTCCTCTCTTTATCAGCTCTTCCTCTGCCTCTCAACCTGTCTCTCTGCTCCATTTCTCTCTGTTATAAGGGGAAACTGTAGCTGCGGGAATTTTCCCACTGACAGTAGCTGGTAAAACCGTTGAAGTATCTCATATGATCCTCCTCTCCTCTCCCAGGGTATCTGAAAGTTTAAAAAAAACATTCAACTAAGGCATTTTGGCTTGTCAAGGGTTTGTCTGCAGCCACTTTTGTCACACCAGAGAGCAGAGTTAATGTTGGGAGGTAATTGGCAAAGTAAAAATGTGTTAACTTTGGTAAACTTTGTAGCAGTGGAGTAAAATAATTAGACATTCAACACCAGCAATAATTAGACAAATAAACAAGGACCAGGGTTCTGGGTTAGACTCCACTGCCCTCCTTTTTGGAGTTCCTCTCATTCTTGAATGGGCTTGATCTGGGTACTCCAGCTTCCTCCCGTAGTCCAATGACATGCAAGTCAGGTGAATTGGATGAATGAATGGTTGTCTGTTTCAGTGTGTCAGCCCTTTGATAGAAAGCTACCTGTCCAATATGTGCAATGTGAGCTCCAACCAACCTCAACAGGAGTGTGTATTCGGTTGGTTTAATGGAGAAACAACCTGCAAACACACCACACACACTAAGGAAAGTTCTTAAACTAAAAATGACAGCACAAATGTCTTTGCCAGTTTACTATTGTATTTAGTAATTGAGCATAGCATTAGTTCAGGCAGGCCACAAAGTCAAAAACTGCACATTTTAATGTTATTTTGTGACATTTTGAGTCTTTTTTTTATTGATTTCAACCCATTGATGTTTCAATTAGTGTGCACTCTCAAGTGTGACATGTCAAACAAGTGACACCTGCCACTAGAAGCAACTTTTTCTTAACCTTTCTGTGACATGACTAAAGCCCAGATATTGCACATACTCAATGTCTTAAGAACCTACACACTAAAAGAAAAAGAAACATATTGTGATTCATGCCTTATAGAGACTGATGCCATGCATTTGTGAGTGAGACATCTCATGGCTCAATTTAGCTTTAGGAGGTTCAGTTCTTTTTCTTTCAGTGGAAGCTCCCGTCTCAGTAATTAGCTGTGTGACTGTGAATCTATACGACACCACAGGCCATACAGAGTTAAAGATGGTGTGAAGTGGTGCAGAGAGGCACAGAGATAAGAGAGTGTTGAAGACAAGCAGGCAGAGAGAGTGGGATGATAGCGACGAGGGAGAGGCAGGGAAGGGTGAGAGGGAAAGGAGAGACGGGGACAGAGGTGAGACAGCGACGAAAAGGTGGTGGAAAAGCATAGAGGAAGAGGAGACGAGAGACACACAGCAGCAAATCGAGGAGCTGAAGAGGGTAGTTAAATTCAACAGCTGAAAATGTGTTCTGAGGGCCTGCAGTCTGCAGCAGACGGCCGCGTAATGGAATAGTAGCTATTTAAGCATCGGTGTGTGCGTATGTGCGTCCACCCATAGATGTGCCTGTAATGTCACAAAGCTATCTACTTTGCAGCATTAGGTCACACTGAGGGCTCATTTATTCTTTCCATTAAATGCACCATATGAGGCACGCACTTTTGGAAAGTAGGCTCCATTACTTTTCTCACGCACGACTCTGTTCTTATTGGTTGAGCTTAATTTAACAGAGAGAGGAGTGTGGATGGAACAGGAATATAAAAAGACACAGGGAGCAGACATCAAGCAAAAACAAATATTAATTAAATGCTGTGATCTTTACTGATATATAAACCTGCCTGTGCAAAGCACATACAGATCCTGAGAAGCTCAAGTTTATTTGATAGTCATTGTGAGTCAGAACAGAAGGTGTCCTTAACACAGCTGACATTTCATCAGACCTTCCTCGGGGTGTGCTGTTTATGTCTCTAGATTTGCTTCCTCCATTTGAGAGTTTTTTTACTTCTTCTTCTAAAGCTTCTACGTGGGAAGCACTGCCAGCTGATACCATCTCATCATGTTCTCATTTTTTTCTGATGAGGGCAGTGAGCTAATACTCCTTATGATATAAAATATAAAAATGTACCCCTATTGCTGCATTTCTACTTATCTCCTAGGCGCCTAACATGACAGTCTACATTCACATAATACTCTCCAATGTGTTACTGATGAAATAAAGCTGTCTGTTTCTAAAAGTTCTTTGATCATTATCTCCCATGATGCTTTGCCAAAAAACAACAGCGTAGGTCAGTTGTTCAGACCGGAATCACCAGTGTTTATACCTCATGATTGGCTTTTTTGGGATAACATGGTGTTTGCTGATGGTTGGTAGATGTGGTTTACATCCCATCTTCCATCAACATTTGTTTCTTTTAACCACGACCACAATCTTTTCACAACCAAGTAGTCTTGGTTGCCTTTATTAAACCAAACCTTACCACAGAGGTGGCAGATCAGACAGCACTCTTACGAATCATTGTAACGACACTGACAAACAACCTTTTTTGTTTTGTTTAGGTATGAGCACTCTGTGTATCTGTGCAGTGATTTGTGTGTGCATGGGTGTGTGTGTGTAGCAACATGAAAGCATCTATTTGTGTGTGGTGAATGTGCAAATTTCCACATGCTCCACGTGCACAGAGAATTAGCATTCTTTATTTTGCTGGCATGTGTTTATGCATGTATGGGATGAAGCTTGTGTTGCTTTTCTGTATGTGTCATGTACTGTATGTGTGTTGTGGGAAAGACTTTGCATGCAGCGCTCTTTCTTCTGTGCTTGTGTGCACACTTGTACTTGTACATACTAAACAACATCATCACCAACTCCCTGCATAGATCCCCTTTTCCTCCCCTCTTTGACCTAGTGAAACATCCAATAATCTCCCTCATCATTGCCATGCCGGTGGTGTCGTCACTTCCAAGGGCTCTTCCCCATCTCCCCGACCTTCCTGGCAACCCTTAGGTTGACCTGGAGTTGAACCCGCAACCCTTTTTCCCATTAGGATCAATAGTGAGATCTGAGCAGCCCCGCCAATGTGCCTAAATCCTACTGCGGCACCTCTGGCATACTGATGTGTGTATTTATGCTCGGGGGTTAAGGGGAGGAGAGGGGGTGGGGGGAGAAACAGGAGAATAAGAGAGCTTTGATAAAATGAGAGGTAGATTCCTCAGGAAGTACCTAGGTGGGACGTGAGGTAGGTCAAGTAGGTGTGTATACAGCATACATATGTATATATGTCTGCATCTTTGCCTGTGTGTGTGTGTGTGTGTGTGTGTGTGTGTGTGTGTGTGTGTGTGTGTGTGTGTGTGAGAGAGAGAGACAGAGAGAGACAATTTATTTTGTTTTTTGACATTTTTTTTGGTGAGGAGATTTAAAGGTCTGACTTTGAATGCATGGTCTGTTGGCCTTTTCTCCTGTTACCCTTGGTAAGACCTGGAACAGACAGAGACATTGAGACATACAAAAGTAAGAGATAACTCCTTAGTTCAGTCAGGACACTATTATCAAGGTTTCAACAATCTTTTCTGCAAGAATATGCATTTGAGTGGCTTTACTCATGTGATGCTTTTGAACAAATCTGAGTATTCACCAGTAGCTTGATACACACAACATCTGATGAACACATACATAAAGATAATACAGAAAGAGACTATTGAGGTGGAGGAAGTTACATTTCTGAAAGAAAGCTGCAGTGTATCTTGCACAGCTCAGCGGCAGATGTTTGTATCGACCACCTATTGTGAAAGATGAGCCTGTATACATACATGGTTGGATGGTGTATGGAACATGTGACTATAAAATGACTTCCATGCCTGCTGTATTTGAGTGGTTCGTCCATTTCTTGGAAGACACCGTAAAGCTGTATTCACATGAGGCTGTTGACTTTAGTAAGCAGGTTTGTACGTTGTTCAGGGATACAGTTTATGTGAAGTTTTATTAGACTGTTAAATGTCATGTAAAAAGTGACTGGTGGAAGGGTTAGGGCAACGGCAAGAACTGTTGATTACTCCTGGTTTAAAGTCAAAGGACAACCACGTATTACTCCTGCCATTCATTAAGTTATTCACACATTTTTCAGTTTGTTTTCCTTCTATATTTGTATGTCTTCATTGCTATACAGTATGTCCTGTTCAGTAACAAAGTCTGTGTTTACACCTTTTTGCAATTGTAGATGAATGTTTAACCTCAGCCTGTTGTCTGGACCCTTTTTACATCTAGTACTGTACAAAGGGTTGCTAAAAGGGACTTGGATATTGTTTAATGCCACATAAGTATGAAAACAACACATTTTGTTTGCTTTACATTTGTGTTTATATGTAAATTTGTACCCGTACTTTTAGAAATGTTCTCTTCTGCTTGGTGTATGTGTGTTTATACCCATACCGTATCACCCCTCATCATCCCTCATCCGTTCTGTTTGTGTCTCTGCAGTTGAGTCCCGGTATCATGAACACAGTAATGAAGGGCACCTTCAATGTGACACTCAACAACCCTCTGGGTCCCTGCTGTTCCCCTCGTGTGGCCCCTGGCTCTTTAACGGTCCGCAAGACCATTAACACTGTCGCGCCCAACTGCCTCATTTCCACCAACAGTTCTTAGAGCTCTGTCTGGGTCGAAAGTTTAGAGGTGAAAGGTGAGTGGTGTAAAAGGTCAATCTTAAGGTCATCCCATTGGAATTCATATTCTGGGGAAAGCTGATTTTTCATGAATATTTATGGTTCTGTCCATTTCTGTTGAATGTATAATAGAGTTACCTTATTTTCATTTATAGAATTGTTTAACTTTAAGAAGCGTATTAATTAAACAAACTGAAATGTGGTGAGATCTAGATATTTTAATAATAATAAGTACTCCAATTCAGAAAGCTTGATGAGGTTTTCTAAAGCTGTTTTTTAGATGAACTGAGATAATGACAATCATCTGTGAAGCACTTTCTAGCTTGTATGAGTGTCTTTCTGCTGGCATTATTTCTACTCCCTGCCACTTCTTGAAAGCTTACTTAAGCAGTCTGTCCAATCTCTGTTTGTTTTGCTCTGTGTGTGTAATCCCCGAAATCAAATAACAACATACAGTAGATCCCTAGAGCTGTGGTTGTGGTAATAGTCTTCAGATTCTCAAGTGTTAGAAATTGCCCTCACAGTTCATTTCACAGTTAATTTACAAATTAGAGCAGCTAACAACTTGTGATTTTTTAAAATAGAAAGTGTTTGAGGAAAACGCTAACTGATTAACTTATTTTCTTTTCTGTATTGTTTCAGGCAGCAATTTTGGAGGAAGATAGCATCTCTTTATTCAGTGTCGCAAAGTGAAACACCTACAATGGACCCTGCATCTACAGCCGATGGTTCCCTCATTCTTTACTCTCAGTAATGACAAGCTTGACGCACTGATTCAGCTGTTTTCGTGGATCAGTTTCCTCTTTATAAACCACTTTGTTAATCAATAACAATTTAAAAGCGATTACTATGAATATTGCCTGAGGTCTTTCAAAAGCGTGTTACTCCTGAAAAGGACATCTCGTCCTCGGGGCACTTTGTTTTTTTTAAAGCAGCAATCAAAAGATCCAATCTGACAAAAATAAGCCAAAGATTAAAAATTATGGGAATGTTTTGCTATACTTGCTATATAATTTTACTGTACTGCTCGTGTTGGTTAATGACAGGAAAGCTGGGTAACTGGAAGTAAGGGATTACATAAGCTTGATTTGAACTGTCTGTGTCTCAAGTCCCTGAGGCCAGGATTGTTAGAAATCATGTTTTATTTAATGACAATGAACCAGCGCATGAGACCATTAGAAAAAAATGCTATTAGAATTCCTAAAGATTACTAGCCATACATTATTGCTTAGCATGCATAAATGATGAAGCCATTCATTATGTATATTTGTGCTGACTACCAGAGAAACAGGTGTGAAAGTCACATAGAAGACTCATAACTTATGTTTTAGTTTGGTTGAACACTGATATGCTTTGCACATGAATCAAATTAACCTCACCTTTCGTTTCATATATACGTACACACTCACATGATGCACAACACACCGGGACGCACACCCAAAGCAAAAGAGGCATTCGGCTGAAAGTACATTCTTCTCATGAACACAAACATGAACTTTAGGTGCCCTATCTATAGTGGTGTTATTGGTGCTTTAGACTTGAGTTGAGAGTTTTAACTCAGAATGCAGAGGAGAGATCTGATGTGTGACTACAACATGAAATATTGAGTGTACAATGCTCCGATGCTTTGAAACGCCTGTAAGAGGAGAGAAGCTGGAGAGTCAAGAATAGGGCTGAGAGAAATGTGTGGAGAAGTGGAAGAAGCTATGCCTTACAGGAGTAGCACAACATTTTGGGAAATGCTTATTTGCCTTTTTGCCAATAGTTAATCATATGTCTTAAACATGAAGCTCCAGTCAGCAGCCAGTTTTCAGTCATTATGCTTAGCTTAATGACTGAAAACTGGGGTGTCGCTGCTAATTTCCTGGCAACCTCACAGCGATGACTGTTGCTGGCCAAAAAATAGTCTGGCATATAACCACATGTAACCAAACAAGCTTGTTAATTTGTGAGCTTTAGAGGTGCTTGTAGGTGGATTTTGTTACCTTCGGGCTAACTTTCCCCTCTGTTTCCAGTCTTTATGCTAAGCTAGGCTAACTGAAAGCTGGATGTGGCTTAATATTTAGGATACATGAATGTACCACACAGACATGAGAGTAGTATCAACCCTCTCATCTGACTCTAATCGGGAAATGTCATAGTATTGATTTGACATAATGAAACATTTGCACTAGTTTAACATTGACAAGTGATATTTCTTTTTAACTTCTTATCTTGGGAAACTCAACTTAGTGGATTCACTTGAAACAGCTAGGGTTAAACCCAAGGGGTACATTTTATAAAATCAAGCATGTCGAGATATATTTCTTGGAAAACTCAAGCCTGTTAAGTTTAAAAAAAATTAAAGAAGGACAAGTTGCTACAAGAAAGTATGCGTGAAAACATCTGAAAGTTGAAGTGAATTAAGTTTCTGACCTTGTACACCTGGTATCAGAAAGGCAAAAATGGCTGGCTGGGACAAAGTGATGCAAGCGGTTCAAAGTGTCAGATAAACCACTTTTACTGGCCGTTACCACTGGACAGTGTAGATTTATGCTCCTGTTCTCTGCTGATCACTCACCATAAATCAGCTATTCATGGCTGTGTGTGAATGTGTGTGTTCTCTGTCCTTAAAGACAAAGAAAGAAAGCAACAAGAAGTGTTTAAGCATCAGCAGAAGATGCACGGATGACTCATTTTCCATTGAATGCCTCACCCAACCCCCTCCCCACTTCCTGTGTAGGATCCTTCCTTGTCCTGCTGTGTTCAAAATGTCTCTGTGAGCGTTCGGAGTAACAGGTTCGACAGAGTACAATGTCTCTGATTGCTCCTGTGGGCCTTTTAACCTAATGAGGTGTTTACCCCCTATCATTATTCAGCTGGGAGCGGAGCAGAGGGAGACGGAAAGGGAGAGAGAGGTAAAGGGGTGGGGGTAGAGTGAGGATGGTGAAAGCAAAACGGAGGCAGGAGAAAGCTAAGAAAAAAAGGTGAAGAAAAAAAGAGGCTAGTGGAAGATGGAGAAAAATGAGAGATTGTATATGGGCAGAGGAGAGATCAGAGAGTTGAAAGAAAACGAGATGCAGAGGAGAAAAGAAAGGCAAGGAGGAAAAAGGGAAAGAGCCTGGTGTTATTTATGCCTCCCTCGGCACTCGTCTTTACCTTTTTTTTCCCTGCGAGCTGTTTTACATCGGCGATCTAATTAAATCAAATAAATCACGGTGCGCACACACACACACAGTCACAACAGCCCCTACTGATTCTGGGATTGTGAACATCTCCTCCCTCTACCCCCTCCACCCAAGATTGAATAAATCTCGATTATGGTGCATTACACGGCACATCATTCATGTTGTTTATAGGTCTAAAATATGCAAACAGACCGGGGGCATAAAAGTGATCGATGCTCAAATGGGCCCTTTTTCCTGTTCCGTTCTCATCTCTCACACAGCACCAAGCACCGTCACTTACAGATGTCTTGTGTGGGATGAAGACATATTGTATTGTGTCCTTACACTGTCCCCTCATGATGGTTATTTTCATTGTCTTGTGGCCAGGCATTAGAAAGGCATTTTTATTACCTCATTTACTAAAGCGCTCTGTCTCTGCTGTTGAGCCATTATTAAATCTAATTAGCTCTGCCAAACCTTGAAGCTGTCCCTGAGAGATCTCTTGATAATTGTAAAATAGAGGTACGTTGATATACATGAAATACATGCACACAACCAGCAGCTGCTAAATATGTAGTTTATTTCCAGGAAATACTGGAACTGCTTCTGGAAGATAATTGTTTGGGCATATGTCATAGATTTTTGGGCCAAACCAAGCATGATATTAATATTCATGTTTCAAGATAAATATAGTTTCTTTCAACAGTTCAAAAAGACAAAACTACATAGATGACTGTCAGTCCATAGAAGTCTTTCTGGAGAAATATAATTTCATCTTGATAGGGTAATATATTATAAAAGGAGATTTTATTTCCAGCATAGAGATTTCTGTGAATTGTACATAACAGTTTCCAATGTGTTTTACATGATTTCCCATGACGCTTAAATGCTGCAGCAAGGAGTGAGTTTGAAGATGAACTGTAATCTTAAAGTAAGGTTCCTGGTGTTAATTTTTGGCAAAAAAATAAAAGTAGAATTCCATATTTCCACTGATTATAACAGACTTTTAATGATTGCTTACATGCTTAATCTGGGAGCAAGAAGCGGTTGCTCTAATGTGCACAAACCATGTCAAAGCTTGAGATAAAATCAGTATATTTTGTCATATTTTGATGCATCTGTGCATGTTTGGAACATACTGAGCATGTAGATGGACAATGGCAAAGGGTGGATTATGCAGCAGGAATGGTTTGACAAGTTTCTGTGGATGGTTTGGTCGTTTTATTCAACTGTGAATGAGTCCAAGTCATTGCAAACAATATTTATCTGGTACGTGTATGTGAAAGTAGAGAAAGTCATTGGTGAAACCCACCAGAGGTCAAACTAGTTTCATCCATCCTCTGCTGCCCTTATAACTCATTTTGTCAATACATGTAAATGTAAAGTGCTATATTTAGCCACAATCATCTTGAGATGACAGCTTCACGCTCGCAAATACAGCTCGGTGAAAGCCAGATTAGCCGGTGTCTTTAATTAAAGGAGATGTACAGTAGTGCAGAAGAATCAATGCGGAGGTTAACAAGTGCTGACAAGGGCAGAACAGACGGCGGGGCTTCATTTAGATACAGTGAGAAGAACGAGACGGGGCTACAATCAGTGGCAGTCACTGCTGAACTCTTCCCTGCATCCATCCACCTTTAGGCCTGCAGCTGCTGTGGATAATTCTTTCCTTAATGTAGTGCACAAGGGCATTATGGGTAGTTCATGTTTTGGAACTTGTCAGGCAGCTGTTTGAGGCTTCTGCAGAAATTAGATTGGCCAAACAATGTCTCAGCTTCTTGAGAGTGTGGCTTTTAAAATACATGCAGGTTACATGTGGAATCATTTATGACACATGATGACATTTATAAAAGCTGCTGGCACAAAAAGTTGCCGAAATGGCGGTGAAATGTGCGTGCGCGTCTTTCCGCGCACAAATCGGGATTTGTAGAGACATTATGTGCGGTAAGGTGTGCGCATTTCTAGGCATGCTATCACCCATGCACAGAGCTCCCACAAAGTTTTTGAGACACCGGAAACCGATGCCAGATGGTGAGACTATGAAATAAAGGTCAGTCCTCATGAAGAAAAACCCCACATGGAATACATGAATACATACATACATATACATACAACATAAAATGCACACAGATTAAATATAAAACCACATCATCACTACATTTGAGTCTGTGCGTACCCCTAATTGTGTAGTCTTATTATTATTATTATTACTCCAAGTATTGGTAATTATACTAAAACAAACTGGGTCCGGGTCGACCGGACACCGGGGCCGAGCTGGGCGCACACTCTCCCCCATGCGCCACCCTAACCAGCAGCCACAGTGTCTAAATAAATTGGTACAAACTATTTAATGTGTCTGGCTTGAATTATTTAAATAGTTCAGCTTTGGTATTACAGAAGTCAGCCTTGCTGGTTTCTGTGGCACCCGTAGCTGCATCAGTGCCCTCTCTCTCTCTCTCTGGCACCACTCCGGACGAAACGGTTTCCTGATTATAGCAATTGGTGTTTTTTTTTGTTTTTTTTTAACCTCAACTTTAATATCAACAAAACGTTAAAAAAACTCCCTTTAAGAAACACAATATACGTGTCCGTAAAACACGGAACTCTAGAAACACGAGATAAAGGGCGTGATATGTCGACAGTCTTCTTGTCAATTCGGTATCAGCATAATCCATAAAGACAATCTGTTTTTCTGTAACTGTATTTTATCGACTCCGTTGCTTAGCTGTGTTATTTTATTGGGATACGACTGTGTGAATAAGAGGCAAAGCGTTTAAAAAATACGATTTCTCAATAAAATAGGGGCTTTTTGGTGGATTGATATACGCCGGATTAAACCCCGACTCATAACTCTGTTAATTCACTGTCTGTCATGTTTGTGTGGCGGTTACCAAAGTAACGGTTTGTTGGTTGCTGTTTGGTGCCCAGAAAGCGCACCTATACTTTCCATTGAAAGTCCAACAAAGGTTCCTTAAACAGTTATAGATATAGATATATTTATGATCTATTTAGCATCATTTATGGATAATTGTGGGTAGACAGTGGGAGGAGCAGAGGCGTACAGGTTTGCGCCGCACGGTTGTCTAGATCTGAATTTTTTCTTGCATAATTAGATTGTAAAGTTTTAGGATGTAATCTACCCTGAGTTTTATAAATAAGGCCCCTGGTTTGATTTGGGCCAAGGACTTCAGTTGCTTCTTGTTTTTCCTGAGTTTTCTGGTTCCTGTCATCCTGTGCCATTATCTATGTAAGACAAACTGCTGTTATGCTTTCTCAAAGTGTAGCAGGTGCATGGAGCAATCTTCTGATTAATTAAAAAGTAAAAAAAAAACGCAGAGACATTTCACTCACTGCCAAACACTAGCTGGGTAAAAAGAAAATCTCAAAATGAAATATATTTTATACACTTGGCTGCACTACTTCAACTTTCTTCTCCTTCCCTTTCACAAACACATTATCTCAGAATTATTTCATCAACTTCTTTTTTTTCTCTTCTTTCACTGGCACCCCCTATCTTTCCACTACTGCTGCAAATTACTGATAAATTATTAAACTCTTGTCTGAGACAAACTGGCTCCCTCGTTAGGAAGTTTTTAACTCTTGTAAATTTTGTCTGCTGACCTCAGAATTGGAGGGCTGTAATCTCAAAATACAAGAACATATTTCCACTTCTTGGCTTATTTTTTACACTATCGATACTTCCCATCGCATACTGTAAACTACATTAGTGACACAGTCATCATTCATACTGTGATAAGCTAAAAGAAGGGCAATAAGGGTTTGCAGTAGTCTGTTCCTATCACCACAACCTCTTGTGTCCACTTTAGTCCAGGAAAAGCTAAGTATGGCTACTTCCTCCAAGGGATGCAGTTCTGTACACTCACACAGTTTGACACATTTCAGTTGTGCTGCTTAGTTAGAACAACTAACATCTTCTCACCCCAGATGGCCACTTTGCAGCTTCACTGGACTGCTTGGGGACTCTACTAGATACAGCAGTCATTCAGGGAGGCGAAGTGATTAATTCATTCATTTTACCTGCTCACACTTTTACAACTTGTCCTGGAAATCCAACCAAAGAATGTTAGATGGTAGATTTTATAATAAAGTCTGTTATAAAAGCCACTTTTTTCAGGTGACTGTCCCGAAGGTGCCCTTTCTGTCCATTCAAATTTGTGAACTTTAATTTGAGACAATTCAGGAGGATTTTTAATGCATGGCTTCTTTTTTCTATTCTTGCAGCAAGGTGTGAACTATTCCTTATGTGTATGGATGTAGCATCAGTGAACATTTGTGAGAGTTATATGCTGTAATGGATATTGATGCTCTGAACCATTTATCATGTGAGATCTTCAACAATATATCTTAAGATTAATATATATTAATACTTAATCATGTTCTTTGAATGAGCAGAATGTCTAATATTTTATGCTTAGTCAAAGAAAACTATGATATTCAACACACAGGTTCATTAACAAGATTTTCTTCCCCAGTCAGGTTTCCTCAAATGAGGGAAACAGCGCCTCTCTAGGTTGCAACGGCTGATCAATGTTAACCAGCGTGTGTGGCCAAAGACGGTATTGCAGCCTTGCCTACTTCCCATGAGACAACAGGTGAAGTCGGCATCCTCTGATTAAAAGAAGAGTTTGAGGCGGTTGTTATCAAACAGCTTCGAAACTGTAAACTAACTCTGTGACTTCAATTTATTTTGAACACGGTTATTCTCTGTTCCTACAACAGACCAGATAAAGTCAACATTTTTATGAAACAACAGGGAGTTAAAACTTTTCCCAGCGTTAGCTAGCTAGCTGTAAGGCTAGTTTGCTTGCAGAGAAAAAGAAGAGATGAGGAATTTACACACAAAATGGCTATCACCAAAACCAAGGGCAGTGAGACATTATGGATTTGGACGACTTCATTTGCAAATGGAGCTCTTCGTCTCCATGAGGACTAAGAGGATGCACTCAAAAAAACGTGAGTCAGATCCATCTCTGTCTGCTCTAGTTTGCTGATGGCCTCTGTGGCTGTGTGTGTGTATTTAACTACAAGCTGCGTTGTTGTGGAGGTCACATTGTGTATTCTGCACTGTTGTGTTTGTGCAGTCACCTGTCGGCTGTGTGTTGTGTGTGTCTGAGCTTGTGCAGGGCTCCTTGTTGCTTTTGAGAATTTGTTCATTCCTGTTTTATTTTGCAGGTGAGCTGAGAATTCAGGCCATGTGTGCTTAATTTTGTATGATAAGTCATTCATTTGATAAATGGACTGCATTATGTTGAGGTTTTTTTTTTTTTTAATGTCTTGCCCAGCCCCATTTACAAACAGGAAGTGGGATGACATCATACATTACAGTTAGAGCCTGACTAATGTGGGTTTTTGAGACTGATATTGATTTCAGAGTGGCAATAAGGCGGCCAATATAGTGAGTTTTTGAATGAAAATAGACCAATTTTGCACTGATATGACTATTTAAAGGTACTCAGAATGCTGCTTTCTTAAACAAATGACTGTATCAAATAATATTAATGTTAGATATTCTTCGACACGGTAAATAGTTTAACATATAGGCTACATTGTCAACCAGATCTAGAAATGAACACTGAGAAAATATACCATTATGTACCATATAATGTTTGCATATTAGCGCATATCGGATGGCATCTATACCAATATGTTGCCAATAGGTCAATATTGGCTACCGGATATATTGGTCATGCTCTAATTACAATAAAATGCAGTTCAGTTCAACTCTACTGCAAACTACAACTGCAGTAATAAACTTTAAAAATTAAATGAATACTTTCTTTCACAGCGTTAATTAAATCTGACCATTATTATGTTTGTAAAGGTAGACTTGATGCCTGACATGTGGTATTGGATTCAAAGAAGGGAGGTCCACACAGTAAGCAAGTCATTTATTTAAGTATAACACAAAATAAGTACAGCAGGATGTGTGAAGTTTACTTAGCTGGTAAAATGACATATTGTTCTGCTTTATACTTTAT